CCTTCCCTCCCTCAGCTCTTCCCCTTTAGTTTTGTCCATGAGTCCTTGCTATATGTTCCTTGACTTTCCCCTTCCCTTCTTGTCCCCGCCCCCCTTCCCTCTTGCCTCTGTTGATTTCTTTTCCTTTCAGTGTTGCTGGTCTTATTTTCCTTGCATCCCTGTATTGTTGGTTAGGTTCCACTTATAGGTGAGATCATATGGTATTTCTCTTTCGTCCCCTGGCTTATTTCGCTTAGCATAATGCTCTCCAGTTCCATCCATGCTGTCGCGAAGTTTAGTAGTTCTGTTTTTCTTTCTGCTGCATAGTATTCCATTGTGAATATGTACCATTACTTTTTCATCCAATCCTCTACTGATGGGCATTTAGGTTGCTTCCAACACTTGGCTATTGTAAATTGTGCTGCCATGAACACTGGGGTGCATAGGTTCTTTTGTATTGGCGTTTTGGTATTCTTAGGGTATAGTCCCAGCAGGAGAATCACTGGATGAAAAGGCAGTTCCATTTTCACTTTTTGAGGAAATTCCACACTGCTTTCCACAGTGGCTGCACCAGTATGCATTCCTACCAACAGTGTACTAGGGTTCCCTTTTCTCCACAGCCTTGCCAGCACCTATTGTTTGTGGATCTGTTTATGATGGCCATTCTGACCGGTCACTTTCACCACTTCTACTCAACATACTATTGAAAGTCCTAGCCACAGCAATCAGACAAGAAAAAGAAATAAAAAGCACCAATTGGAAAGGAGGAACTAAAACTGTCATTGATTGCAGATGACATGATAGTGTACATAGAAAACCCCATAGACTCCACCAGAAAACTACTCGACCTAATAAGTGAATTTGGCAAAACAGCGGGATACAAAATCAATATTCAGAAATCAAAGCCATTTTGTACACTGACAGTGAAATATCAGAAGCAGAAATCAGGGGGGGGAAATCCCACTTGCAAGAGCAACAAGAAAAATAAATACCTAGGAATAAACTTAGCCAAGGAGGTAAAAGACCTGTATTCAGAAAACTACACAACACTGAAGAAAGAAATTAAGGAAGCCACAAACAAATGGAAGCATATACCATGTTCACGGATTGGAAGAATTAACATCATCAAAATGTCCATACTACCCAAAGTGATTTATAGATTCAATGCAATTCCTATTAAAATGTCAATGACATATTTCACAGACATAGAATAGACATTTCAAAAATTTATATGGAAACATAAACGACCCCGAATAGCCACAGCAATTTTGAGAAAGAAGAACAAAGTAGGAGGGATCACAACACCTGACATCAAACTATATTACAAGGCCACTGTAATCAAAACAGTCTGGTACTGGCACAAGAACAGACACATATATCAATGGAATGGAATAGAGAGCCCAGAAATAAACCCATGTCTCCACGGTCAGTTAATATTTGACAACGGGGCAAAAGCACAAAATGGAATAAAAATAGCCTCTTCAACAAATGGTGTTGGGAGAGCTGGACAGCTACATGCAAAAAATTGAAATTTGACCACCAACTTACACCATACACAAACATAAACTCAAGATGGATAAAGGACCTAAACATAAGTCACGACACCATAAAAGTCCTAGAAGAGAACATAGGCAGGAAACTCTCAGATATTCCACACAGCAATATTTTCACTGATATGTCCCCTAGAGCAAGGGACATAAAGGAAAGAATAAACATATGGGACTTCATCAAAATAAGAAGCTTCCACACAGCTAAAGGAAACATCAGCTAAATGAAAAGGGAACCAACTGTATGGGAAAATATATTTGCCAATGACACATCAGACAGGGGTCTGATCTCCAAAATATATAAAGAACTCACACGACTACACTCTAGGGAGACAAAAAATCCAATTAAAAAATGGGCACAGGACCTGAACAGACACTTGTCCAAGGAGGACATACACAGGGCCCACAGACATACGAGAGGATGCTCAGCATCACTAGCCATCAGAGTAATGCAAATGAAAACCACAATGACATACTACTCACATGGGTCAGAATGGCCATCATAAACAGATCCACAAACAACAAGTGCTGGCGAGGCTGTGGAGAAAAGGGAACCCTAGTCCACTGTTGGTGGGAATGCAGACTGCTGCAGCCACTGTGGAAAACAGCGTGGAATTTTCTCATAAAGCTAAAAATGGAACTGCTTTTTGACACAGCAATTCCACTGCTGGGATTATACCCTAGGAATCCCAAAACACCAATTTAAAAGAGCCTGTGCACCCCAATGTTCATAGCAACACAATTTACAAAAGCCAAGTGCTGGAAACAACCTAAGTGCCCATCGGTAAATGAGTGGATCAAAAAACTATGATACATTTACACAATGGAATACTGTACAGCAGAAGAAAGAAAGAGCTACTACCCTTTGCAACAGCATCGACTGAACTGGAAAACATTAAGCTAAGGGAAATAAGCCAGGGGGTGAAAGACAAATACCATATGATCTCACCTATAAGTGGAACCTAATCAACAATACAAACAATCAAGGAAAATATAACCAGCAAGTTTGAAAGAGAAAAGAAACCGACAATAATGAGAGCGAAGGAGGGAGGGAGGTAACGGGGAAAAGAAAGGGAAGGGTCAAGTCAAGGAACATGTATGAAGGACCGATGGACAACGCCAAAGTGGGGAAGAATTGAGGTAGGGAGGGGGGGCGTGGAGCAGGGGAACATGGTGGCAGAAAATGGAGACAAATGTAGTTGAAGAATAAAAAAAAGATGTTAGTAATACAATTATAGATGAGTATAGTTAATAATTTATTTTCATAAAAACAAAACACCTTTCCTAGACTTATGAAGAATCAATTTCTCAATAGACACACATTTGGAGATAGTCAGAGTCATTGCAGTATTGAAATAATAAAGCCACTTTTAGAGTATTCTTTCGAAACATGCTGGGGTTAAGTGATGTCCTGGTATTTATTTATTTATTTTTAATTTTATATTTTTATTGTTCAAATACATTTGTCTCCACCTCCCCCCCACCACTTTCCCCTTCCCCCTCCCCCACCTCCCTCCCTCAATCCTGCTCCACTTTGGCTTTGTCCATGGGTCCTTTATACATGTTCCTTGACTTGACCCTTCCCTTTCCTTTCCCTGCCCCGCCTCCCTCCTTCCCTCTTGATTCTGTTGGTTTCTTTTTTCTTTCAATGTTGCTGGTTATATATTTAAAAATAAAAAAGAACACTAGGAAGACAGAGAAATCTGTGCCTGTGTCAGATGTTATGCTCAATTCTTGACATGTGTTATTTAATTTAATCTTCACAATAGCACTAGGGAATAGGTACCATTATTCCTACTTCACAAATGAGGAAACTGATACCAGCTCAGTGACTAGCAGGGCTAGAATGAAAACCTCTGCCTACAACTAACTCCACATCCCACATTCTTTTCACAAACCAGCATGCTCCAACCAATCAAATCTTCAATATCAACTTACTTAGAGTGTTTGGAATAAAATATGGGGGTAAGAAGGTCAATGGTTTTTGGGCCACTGAGATTTTTTTAGAACCACGTAATTGTCTGGAGCGGTGCAATCCACATGTGGCCATTTAAATTTAAATTACTTAACATAAAATAAAATTTAAAATTCCCTTCTTCAGTTGCACTATCCCACATTTCAAAAAGCCATGTGTGACTATTGGCTACCATAATGGACTGGGAAGGTTACAGAACATTTCTACCATCACACAAAGATCTATGGGATAGCTCTGATCTAGAGGATCCCCAAGAGGCATGGAAAGTGGGAGGGAATCTTAGTATCTTTAAGATCATTGCTGTCCAGAATGTTAGAGGACCTCATAGACCTTTCCATCTCCACTATTAAGACAGGATCAGCTTTTTCTCTGTAAATTCTTTCCCTGAGTTGTACGCTCAGTAGTTGACATTTGAGGAAAGAAGAGGAAGGGATACTTATAACTACTTAATGCAAACTTTTTAAATTATGGGTTCCAACTTGCAGAAGACAGTTTTTTGTTTTGTTTTGTTTTGTTTGCTTGCTTTTGAACTGCAGGGGAGGAAAGACATATAAAAACAACTGGTTTAACTTTAAAGAATTGGTTCAACTAATACCCGAAAAATACAAGGTAAAAAATTTATGTATAAGAACCACATCACAATGCACAGTCATGTAAGAACATTGCACAAAAGGAGTTTATGAATTAAATTATACTCACTACAGGTACCAGTGTGCATTTCCACTAAGACAAAGTATTATTTAAACCAAATAATGATACATTTCCTGAAAGAAGGTAAAAGCACAACACTGAAAAAGAAGACAGTCTATGTGTAAAAATTATGAACAAATTAGACATTCACAAATGAAAGACAAATAGGAAATACAGGTGGAAGCAACCTAAGTGTCCACTGGCAGATGGAAGGATAAATAAAAATGCAGTATGTATATATATTGGAATATTAGTCAGGCTTAAAAAGGAAGGAAATTCTGACACATGCTATAACATGGATGGAACTTGAGTATATTATACGAGGTGAAATAAGCCAGTCACAAAAAAACAAATACTATATTCCTGATTCCACTCATATGAGGTATCTAGAGTAGTAAAACTCAAGACAAAAAACAGAATGGTGGTTGCCAGGGGTTGGAGGAAGAGGAAATTGGGAATTGTTCAATGGGTATAGAGTTTCAGTTTTACAAGATGAAAAAATTCTGGGGGTTGGTAGAACAATAATGTGAATACATGTAATACTACTGAACTGTACACTTAAAAATCGTTAAAATGGTAAATTTTGTTATGTGTTTTGCCACAGTTAATAATAATAATAATAGGGAAATGAATGCATGCCTTTCTTAGAAAAGCCATCTAAATCTATTAGACCACTTACTGGTCTCTTCCTCCACCATTCCATGTTAATCCTACAGTCTGCCTACTGCAACGAAAATTAATGATTGCTCTGATGTTTTTAAGATTTAAATAATGAAATATCATAATGATAATGTAAAATATGCAAATACCTGGGTCAGTGGCAGAGATAATTGCTCCAAAAAAGAGACAATCCGTGTAGTAAAATTTATCCGAGAGCTGCCCCACTATCTTCATGAGCTTCACCACACCATACATGAGATTTCTGTAAGGAGGGAAGACAAACTACGTCAGAAGAGAAAAATAAAAGAAAACTCTCCTAATTAAGTAAATTAGCAAATTTGCAAGCAGAGTAGTACTACAATAGTCTACTTCAAGAGAATGTCATGAAAACATCAGGCAGCTGCTGTGGTTGAACACTTACCAGGAACATGTGCAATCAGACTTTGGCACCAAGTAATAGTTTGCAATTAATGTCGTCTTGCTGAAACATCTGAATATTCCATTTTTAAAGGTTTTGCTTACTTATAACTATAAAGAATGATCCTCAATTAGCAACAATGGTGTCTTAAGCAGCTGGGTAATAGAGAAGAAAAAAAGAGAAAGAACCCTCCATAATGTGTAATAAATTGCTATTAAACTCACAGGGTTCTGAGATAGTGTGTTTAAAGTCATGGAAATGAGTGGACTGGATAAAGCTGGAGAGGAAATACACAGGTTAGGCACAAAGCTCAAGTAATTAACCTTTCCTGCCAAGAATCATTTCAAAAAAGGGAAGAGGCAAAATTCTCTAAACATCCAATTAAAATATTAGTGTGCCCATTGACAAATCTGGCCTCTTGTTCTTTGTATGGATTTGGCAGGCTAGTAGCAGTCTTCCTTATGCTGTGCACAATACGATGTAGTCCAAGAGGGACCATGAAGTTCAATATTTGAACTTGGACAGAACACATTTCCTCAACTAACATATTAGGAAGAGTGAGGAGTGTTAAAAGGCCTAGTACATGTTACTAAGGTTGTGTGTGTATATGTGCATGTGTGTGTCCATGTGTGTCCATGTGTGTACAGGCAGTAGCTGCAGGGATTGAGGGAATAAAAATAACCACAAAATAGACTCTTTGCACCCTAAATTCAATCCTCTGATAGTAACATTCTTGATGGACAGAATGAGGTCCTTGCTACCCTTTGTATCCTGGGTGCCTAGAAGAAGTAGACTGATTAAGATAGGAGCTCAAGAATTATTTGCAGAATAATATCAACCTCAACATCTTAAAGACCATATATGAAAAACCAACAACCAACATCATACTCAATGGGAAAAATTAAAAGCTTTCTCACTAAGATCAGGAAGAAGACAAGGTTGTCCACTTTCACCACTTTTACTCAACATACTATTGAAAGTCCTAGCCACAGCAATCAGACAAGAAAAAGAAATAAAAAGCACCAATTGGAAAGGAGGAACTAAAACTGTCATTGATTGCAGATGACATGATAGTGTACATAGAAAACCCCATAGACTCCACCAGAAAACTACTCGACCTAATAAGTGAATTTGGCAAAACAGCGGGATACAAAATCAATATTCAGAAATCAAAGCCATTTTGTACACTGACAGTGAAATATCAGAAGCAGAAATCAGGGGGGGAAATCCCACTTGCAAGAGCAACAAGAAAAATAAATACCTAGGAATAAACTTAGCCAAGGAGGTAAAAGACCTGTATTCAGAAAACTACACAACACTGAAGAAAGAAATTAAGGAAGCCACAAACAAATGGAAGCATATACCATGTTCACGGATTGGAAGAATTAACATCATCAAAATGTCCATAACTACCCAAAGTGATTTATAGATTCAATGCAATTCCTATTAAAATGTCAATGACATATTTCACAGACATAGAATAGACATTTCAAAAATTTATATGGAAACATAAACGACCCCGAATAGCCACAGCAATTTTGAGAAAGAAGAACAAAGTAGGAGGGATCACAACACCTGACATCAAACTATATTACAAGGCCACTGTAATCAAAACAGTCTGGTACTGGCACAAGAACAGACACATATATCAATGGAATGGAATAGAGAGCCCAGAAATAAACCCATGTCTCCACGGTCAGTTAATATTTGACAAAGGGGCAAAAGCACAAAATGGAATAAAAATAGCCTCTTCAACAAATGGTGTTGGGAGAGCTGGACAGCTACATGCAAAAAATTGAAATTTGACCACCAACTTACACCATACACAAACATAAACTCAAGATGGATAAAGGACCTAAACATAAGTCACGACACCATAAAAGTCCTAGAAGAGAACATAGGCAGGAAACTCTCAGATATTCCACACAGCAATATTTTCACTGATATGTCCCCTAGAGCAAGGGACATAAAGGAAAGAATAAACATATGGGACTTCATCAAAATAAGAAGCTTCCACACAGCTAAAGGAAACATCAGCTAAATGAAAAGGGAACCAACTGTATGGGAAAATATATTTGCCAATGACACATCAGACAGGGGTCTGATCTCCAAAATATATAAAGAACTCACACGACTACACTCTAGGGAGACAAAAAATCCAATTAAAAAATGGGCACAGGACCTGAACAGACACTTGTCCAAGGAGGACATACACAGGGCCCACAGACATACGAGAGGATGCTCAGCATCACTAGCCATCAGAGTAATGCAAATGAAAACCACAATGACATACTACTCACATGGGTCAGAATGGCCATCATAAACAGATCCACAAACAACAAGTGCTGGCGAGGCTGTGGAGAAAAGGGAACCCTAGTCCACTGTTGGTGGGAATGCAGACTGCTGCAGCCACTGTGGAAAACAGCGTGGAATTTTCTCATAAAGCTAAAAATGGAACTGCTTTTTGACACAGCAATTCCACTGCTGGGATTATACCCTAGGAATCCCAAAACACCAATTTAAAAGAGCCTGTGCACCCCAATGTTCATAGCAACACAATTTACAAAAGCCAAGTGCTGGAAACAACCTAAGTGCCCATCGGTAAATGAGTGGATCAAAAAACTATGATACATTTACACAATGGAATACTGCACAGCAGAAGAAAGAAAGAGCTACTACCCTTTGCAACAGCATCGACTGAACTGGAAAACATTAAGCTAAGGGAAATAAGCCAGGGGGTGAAAGACAAATACCATATGATCTCACCTATAAGTGGAACCTAATCAACAATACAAACAATCAAGGAAAATATAACCAGCAAGTTTGAAAGAGAAAAGAAACCGACAATAATGAGAGCGAAGGAGGGAGGGAGGTAACGGGGAAAAGAAAGGGAAGGGTCAAGTCAAGGAACATGTATGAAGGACCGATGGACAACGCCAAAGTGGGGAAGGATTGACGGTGGGAGTTGGTGGTGAGTGGAGCAGGGGAAACTTGTGGCGGAAAAGGTAGAGAAATGTATTTTAACAATTAAAAAAAAATCTCAAAAACTAGAAAAGGAACTATTTGTAGAATGTAATCCTTTTGAGAATAAATAACTATAGATTAATGCTTGCTTACTGTGTGTAAGGCATTGTTCCAGACACCTGAGCATTTCCATTTCAATTTAGAGTAATTCTATGATACAGATTTGATTTGTCCTTTGTTGTTTGCCAAAGCCTTTTTTCATTTACCTTTTAAATATTTCCTAAAACCACACCTTCCTCTTCATTTCCTTCTATCACAAATTTAGACATCATTACTAGACTTCTTTATAGCAGTTTTTCCCCATCTTGCCTCCATCATCACCAATGTTTGTCTTATGAGCACTTCTTTACTTTTTGGCATTATATGGTTCTCCATTCTCATCTTGTGTATATGCTGCCCTAGCCCCAGACTCAGCCATTTCTGTGAAGGACCATGATTCTTTTTATTGGAGAATGATTTTAGAAACCAAGATCTGGGGACTATGTATAATTTTATTTCATTTTAATTAATCTTAATTTAATTGAAATAGCCACATATGGATACACTGGACAATGTAGCTATAGATCTTAACTGCTGTCACCATAAACGTCAAAATACTGGACTCTGGTGATTGCCAGGGGCTAAGGAGTGGGGAAATGGGGACACATTGCTCCAAGAGTACAACTTCCAGTAATAAAATTAACAGGTGTTTTTTTGCCCTCGCTGGTGTAGCTCAGTTGATTGAGTGCCGGCCTGCAAACCAAAGGGTCTCTGATTCGATTCCCAGTCAGGGCACATGCCTGGGTGACAGGTTGGGTCCCCAGTGGGGGGGGCGTGCGAGAGGCAACCACACATCAATGTTTCTCTCCCTTTCTTTCTCCTTCCCTTCCCCTCTGTCTAAAAATAAATAAATAAATAAATTTTATAAAAAAGATTAACAGGGTTTTGAGACGTATCGCATGGTGATTATAGCTAATAATGCTGTGTCATATTCTTGAATTTTGACAAGAGAGTAGGTCTCAGATGTTCTTACCACAAAAAAGAAATTGTAACTATATGACAGGATGAAGTGTTAGCTAAGGCTATGGTGGAAATCATTTTGTAATTTATAAATGTATGAAATCAACACATTGTACATCTTAAACTTACACAGTGTTATGTGTCAATTATATCTCAATAAAGCAGGGGGAAAATACTGGACTCTGTGGACCTATGTGGGTTTCATCTCTCTGAAAAATGTGTTAATTAGGTCATATGATAAAGAGTTCCTTACCCGATAATGAAGCAGGAAACAGCAGTCCCCAAAAAGGCGTAGGCCAGAATAGACCCAAGATTTCTGAAAAAGTGTCTCTGAATAAAAGAAAAAAATAGGAATCACATTGCGATTTTTGACAGTGAGCATTAGAAACACATTAAAAATCTCTAAAAAGTAAAACTTTACTTACTGCTTCCATTATATCAAGTCATAACTGAAGTTACTCCTAAATAATGCTATCTAGCCTTAAACATGATGGTTTTAAAACATCCTTTGTCTTACCAATCACTGAGGAAGCAACCAAGGGCTCAGTAAATTTCAGGCAAAACTACTGTAGCTAGTTTTATTAAATTACATTAAGTGTTTGTGTGTGTATGTGTGCACACATGCACTTGTGTAAGTAGACCAATAATTTTCATAGATTGAACCCAAACCATTTTACTCTAGTGATTCAGCTAGTCACTTTCAGTTCTGGCGGAACCTTAGAAATCCATTACAGATATAAGTTTGAAAGTAATAAAGTATGAAAGTGCTATTAAGGAGATTTCTGCCTAATTCAGTTTCAGAAAACAGAATGTCCTAAGTATCTGCTCATGGCATCTGTGGTGTCTCCTGATATTCATCTGGATTAACTTTTAGAGCCTGGGAAAGATACATGAGAAGAAATGAGAAACAAGCAGTTCCACTTAAGATGGGCAATTTTTAAGTATATATGTATATAAGTTCATATACTTACACCAATACAAAATGTAGCAATTATTCAGAAAGAGGTGGCAAAACTGTAATCCTCTAAATGCCTCTGTACATTTATTGGCTACATTAAAACGCATGCACACACATATACACACATGCACAGATTTACTTCTCATAAATCATTGTGCCTGTGGGATATTCTGTTGGGGAAAACCCCTGTTCTTGGGATCCTGAGCCACAGTTCTTATTCAAGGCATTAGCTGTTTTTATTGGACAATCAGAACTATTTACCAAAAACAAACAAAATCCCCCAAACACCCTAATTAAACAGGGGCCAGGAACACTTTATCTCAAAATTTAAAAAGGAAGGAGAACCCCAGCATGCCAGCTGAGCAACATTAAGGACAGACAAGGCACAAGAAGAACTCAGCCTGGATCAAGTAGCCACCATGAAGTATGTCCAGACAAAAGGCTGCAGGTATCCTCTGGTCTGCGTTCCAGACAGAGGATCTGAGTACTTGGTTTTGGCCTTCCCCAATGTTTGCCCCTCACTGAGGCTGAAGAAGGTATCAAGGAATGCCTTCTGTCCCTAAGCCACCTGCTCAGAAGAAGAACCTTCAAGGGCTTGCCACACCATAGTCACCAAGTGAGGATGTTGATTGTACATATTGTGGACACACTATGTTTGCATCTTAAACCAGTCATTTTTAAAGCTAATGCATTTATACACCAATGTTTTGAAAAAATTAGATTTCAAAAAAGTCAACGATTGTGATCCTGTTTGCTTCTAAAAGCCCCATGAAGGGCTTAAATCAGAGAGGGCTTGGAGTGCATCAAGGATGAAACATGAGACCAATGAAATTCATGGGAAGTGTTCAGGAACAAATTTTAATACCAGATGTGCTTTCCCTTGCCACTCAGCTTTCTTCTGGATAACCATTCCTATGGTTAGTTTGAATATACTAAGTAAATTCATATTAAAGATATTAGTCAAAGCAAAACTTAGGAGTGTAAATCTGCCACCAAAAATACATTTATAATATATTCTAAACTCACACATACACACAATTAGGAATCCCCATTTATATCTGCTGATATAAACTGAAATTTTATTATACCTTGAAAAGGTATAACATGCCTCTTATTTATGTATTATTACACCTAGTATTTAACTGTATACTTCATGGTTTACAAAAGTACAGTTGACCCTTAAACAATTTAGAGGTTAGGAGCATCCACACACCGCAGTCAAAAATCTGCATATAACTTTTGACTCCCCGAAAACTTAACTACTTATACCCTACTTTTGACCGGCCTTACTGATAACATAAATAGTCAATTAACATATTTTGTATGTTGTATGTATTATATACTGTATTCTGAGAATAAAGTAAGCTAGAGAAAAGAAAATGTTATTAAGAAAATCATAAGGAAGGGAAATAGATTTACAATATTTATTGAAAGAAAATCCACATATTAAGTGGGCACATGCAGTTCAAATCCATGGTGTTCAACAATCAACTGTAAACTGTACTTTTACATATATTAGCCCATCCAATTCTCACAACAACCCCATCAGAAAGGTGTTATTTAAACCATTTTATTATATGAGACATCTAGATTCAAAAGTTCACGTGATGAGAGCTGCCTGAAGTCACACAGCCACCAAACTGAAGAACCAGAACTGGGAAGCAGATACTCTGACTCCAGGGCACTGCATTCTCACCATATAAGCTACCTTTCTCAATTCCCACCACACCCTTTTAGGGAAGGAAAAACAGGTGTCTACTGGAATCCTGTATCTTTCATTTTCTTTGGCCACGACGGTACACAAATCAGGTGCTGTTTAAATGGCCACTCTGAAGTCTCCCCTGCTTTTCCTTCTCCATTATAGAATGGAACAAAGACACAAAAGGAGATGTCATGCCCTAATACAGCCTTCAAGAATATAAGCCTAAGAGAGATCAGTACAAGAAAATTTGCTTACCATGAAAACCCACCTGACATACCAATTCCTACCATTCTAAGTCTTATATTCCTACTCTTTGGGAAACCCCATCTTCTGCTACTGACAAATTTTAAAGTGTGTGTGCATCTGTGTATGTGTGTGTTTGGTGAGGAGACCTCACCAAAAATGAAGGCTTCTATAGATGAATTCTTTCTCTGCCAATGCCCTGAAAGCAAACCATGAGCAGCAGCACAGAGTCAAAACCAATTTCAGTGATGCTTTTTTCAAGTTAGCAATAAAAGGCCATGTCTGCATGAGAACTATATGTGCATAGATCAAAGGGTCTGAATATATCTGTTTATAACCTGCAGTAAATGGAGAAATATTTATTACACATTCAGTTGACAGCGGGTTTAATCAGAGATGGCAACCATGTAAAAACCAACTATTTAAGGGCCTTTATAAGGGCCTATATAAAAAGGAAAGAGGCTAAACTAAATAGTTGATAACCTGAAAGACTAGCGCTTCAAAAACAATTTAAATTGGTAAATGGCAAAGCCTGTTATTTGTTTTTCTTCTGAGAAAATGAAGCTGACAAAGACAAGGCTGGGGAAAAAATAAAATATTTTCACTCATTAGAGTGGACGTCACAAGCATTGATTTGGTTCCAGTTGAAAGCAACCTTGACCATGGTTATACATTAAGATTCGTTATTTAAATACCAAGTTATTCATTACATAATTTTATCTTTTTTAAAAAATAATTTTATTTTTATTAAATATATTTTATTGAAAATGTTGTTACAGTTGTCCTGATTTTTTCCCTTTGTCCCCCTCTATCTGGTACACCCCATTTCCTCCAGCAATCCCCCCACCTTAGTCAATGTCCATGGGTCACGCATATAAGTTCTTTGGCTATCTATTTCCTATACTGTTCTTAACATCCCCCTGTTTATCTTGTACCTATCAATTTGTACTTCTTATTCCCTGCACCTTTTCTCCCATTCTCCCCCTTCCTCCTCCCAGCTCATAACTCTCCTTGTAATCTCCATTTCTGTGATTCTGTTTCTGTTGTGCTTGTTTCCTAGGTTTATTTTTTAGATTCAATTGTTGATAGTTGTACATTTATTGCTATTTTAATGTTCACAGTTTTGATCTTCTTTTAGGGCAAGGGATATAAAGGAAAGAATAAACAAATGGTACTACATCAAATTAAAAAGCTTCTACACGGCTAAAGAAAATATCAGCAAAATGAAAAGGGAACCAACTGTATGGGAAAACATATTTTCCAATGATACCTTGGACAAGGCTTTGATCTCCAGAATATAGAAAGAAATCATACAACTCCCCACCAGGAACACAAACAATCCAATTAAAAAAATGGACAAAGGACCTGAACAGACACTTCTCCAAGGACGACATACAGACGGCTCAGAGACATATGAAAGGATGCTCAGCATCACTAGCCATCAGAGAGATGCAAATTAAAACCACAGTGAGATACCACTTCACACTGGTCAGAATGGCCATCATTATCAAATTAACAAGCAAGTGCTGTCAAGAAGAACTCCAGTGCACTGCTGGTGGGAATGCAGACTGATAGAGCCACTGTAGAAAACAGTTTGGAATTTCCTCAGAAAACTAAAAATGGAACTGCCTTTTGACCCAGCAATTTTCCTGTTGGGATTATACCCTAAGAATCCCAAAACACCAATTCAAAAGAACCTATGCACCCAAATGTTCACAACAGTGTTATTTACAGTAGTCAAGTGCTGGAAACAGCCAAAGTGCCCATCAGTAAATGAGTGGATCAAAAAATGGTGGTACATTTACACAATGGAATACTATGCAGCAGAAAGAAAGAAGGAACTGCTACCCTTCATGACAGCATAAATGGAACTGGAGAGCATTATGCTAGGTGAAATAAGGCAGGCAGTGAAAGACAAATACCATATGATCTCACTTATAAGTGAAACCTAATCAACAAAATAAACAAGCAAATAGAACCAGAAACATGAAAATAAGGAACAAACTGACAGTGACCAGAGGGGACAGGGAGAGAGAAATGGGGGAAAGAAGGGAATAGGCCTAGTCAAGGAACATGTATAAAGGACCCATGGTAATGGACAACAGGGCAGGGACTGACTGAGGGAGCAGGGGGTGGGCAGGACAGGGGAGAACAGTGGGGGGAAAATTTGGACAACTCTAATTAAACAACAATAAAAGATAGGAAAAAATACCTTTTAACATTTCATATAATAATGACTTGATGATGAACTCCTTTAGTTTTACCTTGTCTAGGAAGCACTTTATCTGCCCTTCAATTCTAAATGATAACTTTGCTGGATAGAGTAACTTAAGTTGTAGGTCCTTACTTTTCATCACCTTGAATATTTCTTGCCAGCCCCTTCTAATCTGCAAAGAGAAATCAGCTGACAGTCTTATGGGAACTCCT